TGTGTGTGTTTGTTGTACGTGTGTTGTACGTGTGTTGTACGTTTGTGTGTGTTTGTTGTACGTGTGTTGTACATGTTTGTTTGTGTGTGTGTTTGTTGTACGTGTGTTGTACTTCTGTGTGTCTGTGTGTATGTCTTTTTCTTTGGGTGAGCTAGAGAAATTATGTTATCATGAAAGGCCGGGCAAGTGAAACAAGTATTATTTTTTACTATTATAACTGTTGTTATTATTATAAGTCACGGTACTACTAGTAAAATTAGTTGTATTCCAGTGGGTGGTTGGCGGGTGCTCTGGTGTGGTTTGCTCCTTCTTTCCTATCAAAACATCTATAGTCCTGATCTCTCCTCCTTCAGTTTTATGTTGTTACTCTCTTGTAACACCTCTAATCTTCTGGCGCTCATATTATGACCTTATGCAGTTGCGAGCGCCGTAAAACCTCTACTAAAACTAAAATTCTAATTTCTAATTCACTGGTATTGAACAACCCAATAGTGGTTGATAGAGGCGTTAAACCTATATCATTTGACCTTTATTCCCCCCCAGGTGATGGATACGAGTGGTGGCCCGGGCGGCGTGGTACAACAGCTCCAGCAACTCCTGCCACAACCCATGTCGGTGGCCGCCGCAGGACTGATCGTACAGAACCAGTTTGGCCAGCAGGCAGTGGTCAGTTTCCTCTTCTTCTGTCCGGATTCTTGCTCCGTATCACACATGCACGCACACACACATGCGCACACACGCATGCACACACACACACACGTACACCGGCACACATGCATGCACATACGCACACATGCACGTGCACACACGCGTGCACGCACTGTGTGTGTGCGTGTGTGTGTGTGTGTGTGTTGTCTACTTTAAATAATGTTCAGTGATCAGAGTTTTGGTGTAGGTGAAGATTTCTTGAAACCCCCAAAATCTGGGTTAGCCCACTTGTCCTTCACTTTGTCATCACAAGGCTCATGTAGTAAAAACCCTTGCCATCAAAGGCAAAGCCATTTTGGGGAAAATCCAAAGAAACGGAGGGGGGGG